AAAAAAAAAAAAAAAAAACAGGTTGTTTCCAGGCCTGTCATGAGAATTACAAATATAGGATGGTTGAAATAGAGAGAGGTGATTAACTTCAGCATGAAAAGAAGGATTTTTGGAAGACAGTTTCGTCAGCATGGAAACAAGGATTTCTTTGTTGCAAGTCATTATTCCACAATTTTTTCATTCACAAACTGCCTCATCTTTGCCCTATTTAGGTTCATTTGGAAATCTTGCATCCCTTACTTAATGTGTTTTGACGCCCAGTGTCTCATAGGAAAATTAATCTTTGTGAATAGATTAAAAAGAATATCATCATTTCTCTCTATCCCTTCACGGTGTGTGATGTGTAGAAATAATTCAAAGCAAATCAATTTCTTTGACATTCTGATGCTGCAAGATGGGTATGGTGTGTAGGTTTCTTCAGAAATTGATTTTGATTGGGTCTTCTCAACCAGATTAAATAGATTACTCATTTAAAATGCAATTGACTTTGGCAAGGGTAAAGGGGTGTAGTCATGTTGAAAAGTAGAAGTTTCAGCTATTTTTGGTGATCTAGAGGGAGAGATGGAGATTGGCGCAACATGATCTTTCAAGGAAGAGATCAAGAAGCTTTTGAGTTGTGGGATAGAGCTAGGTTTTTAGTATTCTTATGAATTTCACAGGATAATGGTTGAAGTGCGGTCTTTTCTCTTTAATTATCCATGGTTGGAAAAATATATTGTATTGTGAATTTATTTTATTTTGTTTCATGTTAGAGGATTACTTACTCTCTTAATCATTGTATTTACCGTCTATTATAAAATCAGCAAATCACATTCCTTAATAAAAAAATATCCAATTAACATCTTTTGAAGTAAAAGTCCACGATTTGTATTCAATATAATGCAATCAAACTAGTTCACTCAAGCGTACAAGTTACATACTTATTTCGATCATGTTTTTGTGTAGAATTCGGTAATTGATTTGACACGAGAAAAGAGAAAAATGGCTTAAGGATGCAATATAATTTTATATATTTGAACAGACAACATCAGGTAATAATAGTGTAAAATGCACAGTTACTGATCTAAATGGATTCATTCGTGAACCAAAAGGTTCACCGTAGTTTTCTGAAATGCAGAAGCAACAATTTCCTACTCTCTTGACTACAAATTGATGATAATGAAGCAATTGCATAAATATATATTCATATAACTAAGAGAAGGATATGCACAACGGTTTATGGCATAATGGACACTACTGTACAAAGTAACAGGATAAACAATATCCATACAGTAGGATTTTGATAACTGTGCTTTTACATACTTATTTTACTATCAAAAAATGGACAATTGTTAATTAATATGTTGGAATATAACTTAATTCTATGTAATTTACGTTTTGCAGGACAACGTGATGAATGTAACGGAAATAAGGAGGAACAAGTGGAAAAAGAACCAAAAAGAAGAAAAAACAAAGTTCAGGGACCAAGATGCAAATAATCAAAAGATGAACCAGAAGAGGAAATGAAGATGCGAAGATGTCGAGATCAAATTGGGCTAAGGAATAAAGCATTGGATGAAAAAAACAAGGAAAGAAGTCAAGAGTCGAGCAACCCAAGTTGGAGGACTAAAACGCAATTTTGGAAGTTATCACATAGTGTTGTCTCCCATGCGGCCGCATACACTACTTCATGGGATGTGAACACCAATTTTTCATGAACTATGCGACCGCATGCAGATGAACTATGCGGTCGCATAGTTATGTTCGAGGGCGAATATTCAGTTTTCTAATTTCATTCAATTACCTATGGAAACAAGTGAAGATTCGCGTATTTAAACCCTAATACGTCCCAGAACACAGGAGAACGCCTCCATAAACATCTTTTACCCATTGGAGTTCAAGAATTTCTCATGAGGAACTAAAAATTTCAGTGAAGCGACGAAGGAAGTTGGCTGGATTAGGTGATTTTACATCAATTATTTATGTAATTTGGTCTTTCTTTGCTAAACAATCCTAGATTTAGACATTCGTTTCATAAGTTTATTTTAATATTAGCTTAACTTATTAATTTTTTCATAGATTCAATCATGCTTTGTATATCGAAGAATTGAACTATTTGTTGAGTTTTAATTTCATTTATTTTATTGGTGGATTGATTACTGCTTTATGCTAGATGTATATAGTTGTTTTTCGAATCTTATTCCAATAAAAGAGCGTAAGTGTTATAAGAAATCTAGATTCTAGGATTACAATTGAATTAAATTGATTTTTAACGTTATATCTTCCGGTTAGAGAGTTACGTAAAACATCTCTAATTGAGTAAGTACAATAAATTATTGATGTGATTGATCAAATCCAATTAAGAGAATTCCGATGATTTACTATCCCAAACATTGATTTTAATCTCACTCAAGCAATAAATTTTACTACGCATTCAAAAGAACAATCATCCTTCGGATTCCTTAAGCATTTCAACCATCTCCATGTGGAATCGACACCTCAAAGTTGTACTACTACTACCGCATTATTCTTTGGGCGTAATCAGATTTCGCCAAATGACAATGTCTCAAATCAAGTTACCCACTTTAGAAATGACTACTAACATATAATATTGACACCAGCTTTAACTAGCGCTTAGATCAACTCCTCTCCAGAAACTACATATCCCTCAATTCAAACAGAACCTGATGAGAAAATAAGGTCATCTCGAACAGTTTCATTGCAACAGAAGCTTGTGACAAACTACAGAAAGCATAAAGTAATAAGACGGGTTTCAGCATACCTGCAGCCTGAAGACAAATGACGGATCACTCTGTTTGAGATGCTCCTGTACGAATCAAAACACGTTAACTTAAATGAGATCAGGAAAAGCTCATTGAGGCATTGCTACACAATAAAAGGACTAAAAGCTAATAGTACTATCAAGAGCAATTAATAAAGCGAAACAAGCAGAAAAAAAGCAAATAAAGAACATGGTTTATAGTGGTTCACTCTCAATGCAAGAGCTAAGTGTACTTGCTGCAGTAGGGTATCACTATATTGAAGAAGATGATGACACTGTGCCCCCCACCCCCCAATTATCATCAGCGTCAGATCGGTTGTCTCAAAATAACACAAGGCAGAAACAGTTGTGTAAATACCTGTCCCAAAAGTATTTCATTCAACTCACTCATTGATGGAGTTCTTTCAACAGCATTAACCTGTAATCACAGAAATCAATTTTAAGAACTCCTTAAGAAAATCATAACCCCCTAAACTATTCGATAAAGCTCACTCATCTGCCCCTAGTGAAGCAAATGAAAACCCCAATTATTTTATTCCTTATAGTTAATGATGTAGAAAATTGTATAGAATATGAGGTGGATGAAACTATTTTCTTAACCCCACCTCTATTCCTGCAGGAAAGCAGAATGAGAGGAGATCCTTGTATTTGAGTGGCAGCTGTTTATCCGGAGGGTAAACAAACAAGACCTGAAAGCCAAAACTCAAGATTGTGTGTCATCTTTATAACAATTATAAGATTCTTGCGTCACAGTACAAACATGATAGCAGTAGAATAGATGAGTCAGCACCTGAGGCTCAAGGTTAGGTTCTACACGAGACTGATGCTGACTGCCCAGTGCACTTCGAAATCTCCCTGAACTTTCAAACTTTCTAGCAAAGTACAAATTTTGAAGAGCCTGAATATCAGAAGTTGGAGGAAGTCCCACAACTACCATGCTCTCGAAAAGCTTTGATGGCTCTTTCCAAACTCTGTGATCCTGCACACTTCAATACCGTAATTATATGCGAAAACTTGAGCCTCTATATGTATAATCATAAAATCAGCACAAATAAAGAGGGAAGTTGGTAAACATAGGAACTCTAAAGGAATCAACATATTTTCTAAGAAATGTCTTACACTGAGAAGCCTGCTAATGAAAACTTACGGCCTTTTTATTTTGGAAACAAGAAAACAAGTAATATTTGATTCGACCAACGGTAGGTCCTACAAGTTAAAAGAAAATCGCATATAGAATTTTTGTATATTTCTTCTTTTAACAGAAATATCAATAAGCATTATAAGAGTTCACCAGAGCAGACAAAAGTAAGAAGGGAATGGTTAAGAAATTGTAGACTTGACAGAGGAGGACCTACCAGGGACTGCAACTGAAAGTTGGCCCACTGACGTTTTTGACTAGTTAGTATTTCTGGGTTGTAAGGTCCACTTTTCACTTCTGGAGGACTTGACAGGCCCTTCAATAATCTAGAAACATGGTGTTGAAGTCTTTGAAGCGGGCTACCACTTTCATCTTTTGATGAATACACCACAGAAGGTCGTGATGAATGAGCAGCAGCGGCAGCTGCAGCAACAGCCCTGGCTACATCTTCAGTTGTTTGCACGAGTGACGCACCCCAACCGGGGCTACTTGACTCTTCAGTTTTCTCCATTTCTAAATTTCTCCTGCAAAAACAAGCAGATATGAGCATCCAAGGAAGGGAATTATTGAGCTGATTTAGTCTACTTAACATTTGAAAACCCACAATAGGATAAATAAGGGGTTTATGTTGCTCAAAAATCACCCTGCCAAATGCTTACAAATAAATGAAAAGAGAGAAATAGAAGATCAGAGCTGGCAAGGGTGCATTGAGATTTCTTAGAATTTAAAAAAAAAAAAAAGCAATCTCCTTTACACTCAAGCTTGTGCAATCATCCATATTAAATCTAATTCAAATCCCTTCAAGCCTATCCCTTATTTGGGTTATCATCATAAATGCATTTGTCAGGGGAAAGGCGTAAATAAAGTCATGCAAACACTACGAGACACAATCTTTTCAAAAGCACATCTTGTGTAAGGTGTTCATTAGGAGTCTCAAATCTTACACTGTGTCCTTTGTCAATGGTGGATGAAACTGAACTCAAACCAATCAAAATCCTTCTGTTTAACTTGTATATCTCTTAAATTTTAGTATGAGTACTATCATATGTATTACAGAGCTATTTATAGACCACTACCATGCATCAAAGATTGAAACGAATAAGTCAATAGTGAATGGCTTCTGCAAAGCACCTCCTTGTTCATCATCTAACTGCTTCTTATGTACACTATCCTGGCTCTACATTCATATGAAGAATAACAAATTCAATATTAACATAGTACCCATGATAACTCTCTTCTCCATCTTAATTTAAAGGGGAAAAAAAAAACCTGCTTTCAGCTTAAACCTCCAATTTCAAACCAAGTATAAATAAAATAATCAACACGTCAAATACTGAACAAGAATGTTAAAATAAAGCAACCAAGAAAAAAAAAAAAAAAACTCACCTTAAAATAGACGATAAATTAAGGGAGATAGTACTGTATGACAATGGATATTTTAATATATATATGTATGCGCATGTATAGGTTTGATTTAGATAGATACAGAGTTCAGAATTTATGTATATGTGTTGGTTTAACTTAGATAGATACAGAATTCAAGCGGCCAAAACAAAGAGAGAGACTAGAGAGAGAAAGCAGTCTCTTGTTGGTTTTCTAGAAAGAGAAAATGAAAGTAGAAAATCCCCAAAATGACCGAGGATCAGGAGAATATACCGTTAATTTATTTTATGATTTATTAAATTATTATTTTCAATTATGTAAAAATAAAATATTTTACACATATATTAGAAACCTTTTTATTACTTCTTAATCACACATTTTTTAAAAAAAATTACTATTCAAAACTCTTTTTTCAACAATATAGATTGTCAAACGGCTCGTATTATTTGTTATCATACTTTTTTCTCATAAATAAGGACATGCTTGAGAGTTATGATGTATCGATTTTGAGCATATTTTAGCGAATCGATTTTGAGTAATTTTAGTAACGATTTTTATAATTGTCCACTCTATACTTAGGAGTTTATTATCCATCAGTTGTGAAAGTTTTTTAAAGAACAAAGTTACATATATGTATGTATTTGCTTCCCCTTTTTTTAAAATACATTTTTGTTTCTCTCATTTTCAACCACGCATTTTCAATAAAATAATATTACACGCAAATAAAAAAATCTTTATTTTTTAACCACGCATTCTCCATCAAATTACTATTCCAAAATATATTTTTGAATAAAAATGGGGCTCAAACAAGCTCTTAGTTCGATTTCTAGTTTATTATACAAATTTTTACTCATAAGTGATATTTTACTTATAAGTAATTCTTTACATAATGTTAATATTTAACTTAAAAAATTAAATAAAATTAAATATTTACTTAAAATTCTAAGTTAATTTTATACTTTTAATTAATTTTAAGTGAAATTTTTACTTGTGAGTAACTTTTTATATTTTATAAGTGGAATTTTGTTGTATTTTTATTTTATAAACAATTTTTTAACAAAAAAGTGATGTTTTACGTATAAGTGAATTTTAAATTATAATGTAATTTTTCTTATCTTATAAGTAGTATTTTACTTAAAAAAATTTTTATTATACTGTAATTTTTTTGCTTATAAATAATTTTTTTTAATATATTTTTTTTACAAGTTAGTTTTAAAGAAAATAAGTTGGTTAGAAACAATTATTTTATAGAAGGTAAAATTAAAAAGAATAATGCTAAGTGTACACAATATTTTACACAATCTTTTACACCTCTCTCACATGGAAGGGAGCCCACACATAATAAAATAATCGTGGACCCCCCTCCATGTGAGAGAGGTGTAAAAGATTGTGTAAAAGTGTGTGTGTACATGTAGCATTACCCAATTAAAAAAAGATTATGAGAACGACCAAAATTCATCAATTTGGTAGATTGAGAGAACCGTTAAAATTACATCACGACTTTGGGTGGTTTTTAAACCAGCCAAAATCGATGTCCAAAAAAATTAGCAAGTACCGATTTTTTTAACCCCTCATAAATGATGCCGTACAAAATCGGTCCCAAAAAAAAAACTCCCAAGCAAACCCTAAGAGTCAAATGTTTCATTACTCATCCAATTCATCTATAATGGTACTTTATTCATCAAACTCCAAACTACTTTTTTAATTATCACTTATCTTTGATACATTGCACTACATCTATCATTAATTAGATTATGGTCCTCTTGTTGCGACGTGTCGCGTGAAAATCCTACATAACAAGTTACGGTGGTTGAAAAGTTACAACTTAATCAAATCATTAAAATATTTCATTACTCACCTAACTTATACTATCGTCATGATTTACTCATTGTCTTTCAAACTGCTTCACTCGGATTTCGTTCCTCCCGTTGCTAACATGTTGTATGAAAATCCTATTTGGTGAGTTACGATCTTTAAAAAAAATTACAACTCAGTCAAACCTTCTAACTCACCAAAATCACTATATGTAAAAATGTGACTTCCACGACCTCAAACTTCTTTAAGCCGCACTTACTCATTCCCAATTTCAACCCTAAATAACCTAGCCCCAATTCACATATATCATCCACGTACAACTAAATTGTATACTGAGACAAGACAATTGTTGAGGATGAAGAAACTACTACTTTAACCAATTTCCCCAATTGTATCATCTGCTTGGAGTCTCTCTAATCCCAATCTTCTATTTTTGCAGGAGAGTCTTCGACCATCTGAAGAAAAAAATATCATCGAACTTCGACCAGATTGAGAAACAAAGAACAACAATCAAGAAGTACAAAAACATGTGTACAATCCAGAAGGTAATCTAGTCGTACACCAGCCGCTAGAGTTCGACGACATTTCCTTTAGGACATACGCAAAAATAGAAGATTAGGATTAGTGAAACGTTGGGCAACTAGTACAATTGGGGGATAGAGCTTTATAATTAGTAACTTCTTGTGTCCTTCTCATAATTGGACACTATCCCAGTATACAATTTAGTTATACATAGGTGAGATGAGTGAATTGAAGGCTACAATTTTCTAAGCTAAAATTAGGGACTAACGATTGGGGCTTATGGAGCCATGGAAGTTACATTTTGATAGCTAAAGAATAACTAATCAAGAGGGGGTGAATTGGTTTTAAATTTTTTTCGAAAAATAAACTTAAATCAAGCAAGTTAAGAACACGTTGATCAATTAATAACTGTAAGCAAATAAAAGCAAGTAGATCGATTAAATGATAAATAAAGACAAGTAAAAGGGTAGAGAGGGTGCAAACGATATAATTGTGGATGTTCGATTCAAAATAATGATTTACCTCCTTCGTTATCAAACTCTCCGACACGAGTAAGGTTTTTTCACTATATTGATTGATTTATGATACAATCCAACCATTTACAATGCTTTCGATGATTTACAAATAAGGAGCACCGATTCTTATACAATATTGAGCTTTACGGGACATCAATATGACTCACATGGTGACTTAGAATAATGATCATCAATCCTTATACTATTGAGCTCTCATGGGACCTCGATATGACCCACAAGTTTAGAGCAATGATTTTACAACGAAATTTCTCTGTCAATAAATGATACAAATGAATTAAGCACTAAGATAGACTAACACTTCAATGAATAACAATAAATAATAGCTTAAGTGTTAGGTAAAAAAAACTTTGATGAATATGATGATTTCAAAATTTGATTCAATCAATCAAAATTTTCAATAAAAAGATGATGAAAAAATAAGTACAATATAGGTTCAAGTCTTCTCAAAATACTTCTCTCTTTTAATGGAGAATAACAATAAATTAAGTATCAAGAGAGAGATGAGAAACATTGATGAATATAATGAATTTTCAAGTTTGATTTAATCAATCAAAGTTTTGATATAAAGAAGTAGAAGAATTAGATGCAATGTAAGTTCAAAGATTTTCTAGAAAATATATCTTTTTTTGTGAATGATGGAAATAAATTAAATACAAAAGGAGATATGAAAAACTTTGAATAAGATGATGAAAAAAGTTTGAATTAATCAAAGTTTTTTATATGAAGAAATAAATGAAATGAATACAATATTGGCTTAAAGAATTCCCTCAAAATATACTTTACTTAATGTTTTTGAAACTCTTGTTCAAGAATGGAAAGAGTGATGATATTTATAGAACTCAAAAAGTAAAATAGTTCGTTGAACTGGACAACCAATTGGATGTCTGCTTTTGGATCGGACGATCAAATGGCCATTATGCATATGAAATTTGACGATCAAAATCCAACTGTTGCATCAATTGGACATCCACCTTTCATGAATTTATAAAGAAAGATTTTGTAAAACTTTTTGGGAATTCAGACAAGCATCCGGAAGTCTGCAAGCTCAAATCGGACGTCCTACCTTTCGATCGATTTTTCTAGTTTTGATCCCGTTTGATCCGATTTGAATATTTTAACAAATGTAGACTTTTGAAAAGATGTTTTTAACTAATTTTCAAGGTAAATGATGTTTTAAAAATATGTTCTAAGTTCAAATATTATTTTGAAAATCAATTTTACTTTTGATCAAAACATTTTATACAAGTGATAATCAAAATAACATTTAGCGCACATTGATTTTTGAGTTTTTTTTCATTCATTGCTAAAGATGAAGGTCTTAGTACATTTACATTTGATATAAGAAAGTCTAGTCTCTAATGTTTCTTTGAAGCTTGGCTTTTAGGCTATCATCTTGATTCTTTTGACGTTTGGCTCTTAAGCTCTTGATCTTGATCTTTCTTTGACGTTTGTTTTTTAAGCTCTTGTCTTGAATGTTTGGATGACTTCGATCTTGACCTTTATTGTGAGTCAGATTTGATAGTATTAATATTGATTTTTTTACGGCGATCGATCAATTTATCATTGAATATTTTAAAGACTATAATCACTCAAATTTAATTGTTAGTAAACATGTTTAACTTGTTTGTTATAATAAAAATTTTAAAATTATAATCAACCATATGCCAACACATTTCACATATGACAATTTTGATAGGTTGCGTGGTTTGACTGGGTTATGATTTTCTTAATGGTTGGAACTTTCGTCGTGTATACATCAGCAGCTACGGTTATAGAATTTGGTGGATGATGGATGTAGTACAACATTTCAAAGATGAGTGACCATTGAGAAACTATTAGAAATTTGATGAGTAAATCGTGATCATAATATAAGTTGGGTGAATAATGAAATATTTTACTTGGAAGGTTTGATAAAGTTGTAATTTTTTTGACCTAATTTGCCATGTGAGAATTTCATGCGACACATTAGCAATAAGGGGAACGAAATATGGTGGATGATGGATGGAGTGCAACGTCTTAATGATGAGTGACAGTTGGGAAGCAGATTGAAGTTTAACGAGTAAACTTTTATCGTAGTATATGTTAAGTGAATAATAAAATATTTTACTCCATAAATCAATAATTAATTAAACAATTTAGAAAAAAAATTAGGGTATGCTCTTTAACATTTAATGCTACTTAATTTTGGATCTTTAAAGTGGTTCTAGATCTTCAATTTATGTAATATGTGAATCCAGATCTCAACGAAACTTTTGTATTACTTAAAGTAGAACATTAAGCCCATCTTAGATCACCGTTATCTAGAAACTCTTTTTTCCAAACTCATCTACAATCATAGATTTTCACAATAAAATATTGTAAATTCAAAATTTTTTCAACTTCTTAACAACGTATTCTCTAAAAATTCAATATTGCAAAATTCAATTGAAAAAAAAAGGGGGGACTCAAACACATCATAAGTGATTTGACAATTTGTCATCACTTTAAATCATGTGAAAGTAGCATATAATTTTAAAGTCCGTATTGATAGTTAATAGTGAACTAAGATTCAACTATTGATGATTTAGGTTCGGTTAAAGACTCAAATTATAGTGAT